TCAGTGGCAGAACTAGAAGCCAAAACTCTGATTTCAATTTATAGTACTTTAAAGAAAAAGTAAAAAAAAAAAAGCATTTGTCAACAGAGAAAACCACAGTAGTTTTATTTGGACTTGTAGTATCAGGCACTATCTCATTCTATAAGAGACTGAGTGTTCCAATCAGTTGAGCAGAGGAGGTTGGCTTTATATGTAGAAAATTGCTGAAGAAGGTAAAAATAGAGAATAAAAAGCTGATTGGTCATTTGAAAGTTACTTTCCTTGTATAGCTGAAAGGAGAGGGGACTTCTATCTCACTAAAACTGGCCTTATTAGAGGATGTGGCTGTTCAGGCTTTCTCACCTTTGATTTCTTGGAAGATCAGATAAACATCTTAGCTTTGGTTTGGTGGCATGAAACTTTAGCACGAATGACTTCATTTTAATTTGATCTAGACCTAGTGCAAGAGCTCAGTGCAAATCAAAAACTTCCTTATTTCATTTACATTCAATGTGAAAAAAAAGTGCTACTGAGTCTTTCAAATTAAGCCAGGTGCCATAAAGGAATACTTGGCACACAGGTAAGATTCGAAGACAATGAGAATATTACAACACAATGGTAATAATATATGCCACACTTTTAATTCCATATGTTTTAAAAGTGTGCTGTTCTAATCAACAGAACCATTCCTTTTATAAAGTATTCACTCACAATTCACTTGCCTTCAGGCCTTCTTAGCAATGTGTCATGCTGTTATTTCTCTTCTTTGAGCAGAGTATAATTGAGGGAAATAGGAGAAACTGACTCAAAAAAAAGTGCATAAATCCTCAAGAACCAAAATCAGAGACTGTAAATTTGTAATGGGGGGCTGGGGATTTAGCTCAGTGGCATAAGCACCTGCTTTGCAAGCAGGCGGTTGTGAGTTAGATCCCTGGTACCGATTTAAAAAAAAAAAAATTGTAACAGGTACAGTTAGCATGGTTTGGGGATTTTTCTACAGAAAAATGTCCAAATGTAGAGAGAGAGTTCCCCAAAAGCAAAATCATCATAAAAGAATGGTTGAGAATAGTCATTTACACTAAGTATATATGTGAACAACTATAGAACTTTAGAACATTAGAAATTCAGCAAAGGTTTGGTTTTATGAGATAATGAGGTCCAGTGACATCCTCAATTCATTAAAATTGCTAATAAAAAATGTAGAGTGTTCTTCAACCTAGGAATTCCCCAGGTGAAGAAAGGCAAGAAGGAGGAATAGGCAGGATCAAGGTGGCCTGAGGGGAAAGTGGGCATCCCTGATCTCCTCAGTCTCACCCAAAGCATACTGGTAGCACTTTCTCCTGAGAGTGATCTGGGAGTTTGTGAGTATGTTTTTGACTCTAACCAAGATATCATCTAGTGAACCTAAATTTAACATAAGTATTTCTTGCATGGCTTCAGTGTACACTGAATTTTTCAAGACTGTAACTAAGAGTACAGTAAAGGAGAACTGTAATTCGTTTCAGGAGAAACTTTACTAAGAAACATTCAGAACTTCAGCAAATACCTCTGATAATCTGCCAGCTAATGCTATTTATGAAAATATACTATACTTGTTTTTCTGCATTTGTAAGCTTTTCAGAAATGATTCCCAGTATAGGTGTAGATGTATCATTATGTCATTATGCATTCTAGGGAGACTACAATTAAGCATTTACACACTGAACTGTGAGTTACTGTCGTCTGTGCAGTTTACTTAAGGAGACACAAAATATTATATAAAGTGAGGGGCAGCTTTAGATCTGTAGAGCTGAGACCAAAAGGCCCAGAGCAAGATGTTTTCACTTTTGGATCAACAGAACCATTTCAGGACAGGATAAAGATCATGAAAACATCTATATACATAGAAGTATAAACACTTACATAAGCAGCCTGTAGGTTAGTACCTGAAAATAGGCTTTCTCTTAAGCGGAATATTTAGAAAATGAGGTCACACTGAACAGCATGGGAGTAGCTCAATAAACTAGACTGGGTAGGGTGTACACAGAAGACAATTCTATTCCTTCCCAGTACTGTATATTTAGACTGTCACTTTAAAGTAGTTTTTGTTGCTGGGAGCACACGCCTGTAATCCCATCACGCTGGAGCCTGAGGTAAGAGAATCGATGTGAGTTTGAGACATGTCTGTGCGTGGTGAGTTCAAGGTCAGCAAGACCTGTCTCAAAAAAACAAACAAACCAAAACCAAAAAACAATCAATCAATAAAATGGTTCTTGCCTATTCCAGGACAAAATCTTGGGAATATTTCCTACTATTTCTATTGCCATTACAGAGAATAAGGCCAGTTGAGTCAGATAATTTCTGTTCCAAGCTCTCACCAATTTAAATTCTTTCCTCCTTCCAGTTAAGATCTGTTTCAGTTTATAAAGCCTTAATAGGGGGAAAGGTACAATCAGTTTTTTCCTATTTTCTACTCCAATTCCCTCCCAATTTCAAGGTGCAATGGCTCCTCGTGTTTTATTGGGAGCTAGAGGGGAAGTGAAGGAGGAAGCAGAGCTAAGGGACAGGAAAGCTGGATCATTGTCATTTGATATTGGTGCCCTCCAGATGGGGCAGATTCCACATGCTGCTTCTCTCCCACGCAGTGTTTTTCTAGGTATTCTCCCACTTAAAGAATTTCTTATAAACCATGTTTTGCTGGGCACAGCTCCTGTAGCCGGCCATCTAAGTTTTTCCCTTAATCCCTAGTTTTCATGGGTTTCTGGTATTCCTCCACTACACCAAAGTATTCCAAGGGGCCTTCTGGGTCAAGTCCAACTCCCTTCAGAGTGCATACTGATAGGATTATTTCCAAAAAATGAAAAATATTTCCAAAAGATGAGAAGTATAAAACAAAAAGTGGCCTTTATTCTGAGAACACAGAGAGATGACCGGCACCTCCCACCGCTGGCGTCCGGTGATCTCTCCAGCAGACACGTGGCATGGGGTATGTAAGTAGCCTCAGTTTGGGGTGGAACCTAAGGAGGGCATTAGGGATGCATAGGTAGCCCATTGGTTCTAGGTTTGGCACTATAGGTAAATTTCCAGGGGCGGGAAGATGGCGTCACAGGTAAATTCCTAGAGATGGGGGAGATAGGGGCTTCCTGCTTCCGGCTGAGGCTTTCCTGGCTACAGTGTCCTGCCTGGGCCAAAACCCTTTCATATCCCGTTTTATGATTATTATTATGAAAAGGGGCGAAGATTTCTCTCTTTAACTACTTCCTGCTGGCAAAAGGCACTGTACTGGAGCCTTGGGGAGTCAACGGGATGAAGGTTGATGCCCAGGTAGACGCTGGTGCCGGGTGTTTTAGCCAGGACAACTTTACTGGTGAATGCAGGTATGTTAGACTGGAAAAACAAAGAGACAAGATGTTATGAGGAGGGGCTGGAGGTTTAGCTCAGCGGCATAAGCGCCTGCCTTGCAAGCAGGCAGTCGTGAGTTCGATCCCCGGTACCGATAAAAAAAGGAAAAAGACAAAAAAATTAAAAAAAAAAAAAAAGATGTTATGAGGAGACATGGCATTGTCATATTTAAGGACCCAGGTGAGGTAGAGGGAAAGGTGCCTTTGATTTAGACATGTTCCATGGTAAGGCAGAATTCTGAAAATTAAGTGTGAGGTTAGGAGAAATGATGTTATGAGAGGTGATTACTCCCCCATCTGAAAGCATAAAAATTAAGAGGGTAGGTGTATAATACTTGTCTCTGGTCCAAGAGTTGAACTGGAAAAAATAGGGGGAGCAGAGAAGGCGGTGGCTGTCCCAGTATAGGGAAGGTAAGGTCTTAGACTTTCAGGGATGTCACGTTTAACCACACAGCTGAGGGTAGAAAGAACTGTGACTGTTATCATATAGAACATTATGAAGATTATCTTACACATGATGTGGGAGTCTATAGGAAAGACTGTCAAGAGTCCTGCTGTAAAAATGATCATTAATAGAACATAAGAAATTAGGAACCAAGTGGATAACAAAACATGACAGCCTGTTAACTGTGGCTGCGAGGCCTTTGTGAGACGGAGACAGATGGGCAACAGAAGATGAAATGACCACTCAGAATGATCAGATTTAGGGCTGGGAGGGCACCTCTTAGCTTGAGTGATGTGAAACCAGGATGGCAGTCTAGCAACTTTGATTTAGACATGGGTCGCTGTAACCTGGTTGTATCAGCAGTTTACCTGGTTGTGGGAAAGGCTTTTATGTATCCTGAAAAAGTATAAACAAAGTGAGAAGACAAAATGTATCTGTCAGTCCTGACCAGGGTTGTCTGACAAATTGGTGAATAAGAAAGGAAGGGGGTGGTCTTATATCACTGAGGAGAGGTCCACCAGTGACAACAGGTGGAAGCTGCCGAGGCCTCAGTGTGTCTAAGTGAGCCTGCATAAACACAAGGGAGTGAAAGCATTTTAAGATTTAGGACTTGGACCTGCATGAAATAGGCCGTATTTATAAATAGCATAGGTTGACCATCAATACCCTATCATAGAGATTGAGGACTTAATATAGCAGCCTGAAAACTCAGGAAGACCTCTGTATATATGGCCTCTATGTCCACAAATATAGAGAATTGTCTTACCTGAGACTTTAGTCAACTTGGACTCTGAGACGGACACCTTAAAGGTGGCTGTTGTTGCCCTGAACCCCCTCAGTCTTTGGCAGCAATTTTTTCAGTGATGAATCTGGCACTGTCGACATTTTCTGTGAGGGCTAGAAGTTAGGATGGCTTACCCACTCTCTGGTGGCTAGGACAGTCCAACAGCCCTGGAGTAAGGTCTCAAAGAACGCCAGGATGGGGCATTTTGTTGCCCAATGTCTTCTGCTGCATTTGAGCATGGTCCATGGGGGGGGGGGCAGGCAGCTCCACCTTGCGTAGGTTTACCTGCCTCAGAACTCCAAGTGTCAAAAGTGTCCGACGCAGCACATGAAGCTGAAACTGCTCACGCAGCACAAGGATTAGAAAGCCAATTTAGGAACACAGCTGGGTTTTTATTAGCCTCCTGGACCTGTTTTAAAAGTTTGATATACTTAGTATGCTTGTCCTGCTCTGGCACAGCTATAGGCCCAGGGTCATTATCAGTGGTGTTTACCTTATGTCTGTGATCAGCTTCTTCTCAAGCTGCTTGCCACAGCTGATTCCATTCTTGTGAGCTGAGAGTGGTATTTAGAATCACATAAACATCCTTAAAATGTAAATCATAACAATTAGTAATAAATTCAAATTGCCTGATATAATTCTGTGGGTCAACAGAGAAGCTACCTAATTTATGGGTAATCTGAGATAGATCAGAAAGGGAAAAAGGTAATTGGATGTTAACAAGTCCCTCGGAGCCAGCTTGCTCCCGAAGTGGTAGCAGAACCTGAGGAGAAGATTCTGGAGCAGAAGGCCATTGGGCAGCCATCCATCCAGTAGACGTGTGTGAGCAATCATCTGTAGAGTGGCTACAGAGCTGCTGCCAGTCACCTTGGGAAACACAGGCAGATGGCCTCTCATTGTGTGCCTTGCAGTGAGAGGATTGCTGTTGGCAGCATAATGAAGCATCATGTGCACCGCAACAGGGCGGCTGTTGCAGTTCACAAGAGGAGCCACAAGGGGGCACCTGTTGACAGTGAGACCCCCTGCCAACATGGTGGCGCCTGGCAGAGGGCTGTAACATGGCGACCATTCCCGGCACAAGCTGGAACAATCACATGGCCTGCTGGAAGGACATAGCAATGGAGACCTAGTATGGTGGGTGGGTGGTGAGAATGCTGTAGGGGATAGAGAATTCTCAGAATAAGAAGTTGAAGACTTCAAGGAAGCGTAACAGAGGGATTAGAGCCACTGAGAGAGTTATGGGTCCTGGGAGACAGAGGGGAAGACGATCCCACAGCGGGAGATAATGGTGAGGGACCACTTTGGGGGTAGGAATGCGGCAGCTGGGAAAACCCCGGAGGGCAGGATGGAAAAGTTTGTGGCACAGTAGAGTTAGCTAAAAGTATCTCAGCGGGAGCACAAGACTTAATGAGAGATGGGCGTGTTCTCAGAATAAGAAAGGCCTGAATATAAGGGAGTTCTAATAACTTGTTGCCGGCCTGACAGAAATCATACAAGTTTCTGAGAATGCAGGGATCAAATGTTCCTTCCTTGGATCAATGCTTGCCGATAAGCGGGTAGGTTGGCCAGACCTCCTGGCAGTAAAAAGTTAATTGTTAGTTTTTTATGGTACTTTTAATTTTTAGAGTATGTAAATTGGAAATTAGGCATTGTAAAGGCGTCTTTTGGGAGTTAGCAAATACATTTCCCATGACTGATTCAGGCAAGAAATAAGCCATGGTCCAGAACAAGCCGTCACTCATTTGTGGCACCACACAGCGGCTAAGGTTCCAAAAACTTGTATATTCCAGTCATCACTGAGAATTTTACGAGTGGAGTTCACGTGGGGTCAGTAACAGTTTTGCCTGTGAAAGCACAAGGCTTTAAGGGAAGTGAGGGCCTTTCAGTGTGGGCAGTCCAAAAATCTCTGCTTTGGGCTATCCAAACCCAAAGAACGTGAGAGATTTTAAAGTGAGGACACAGGTTTGCCCAGAAAGAATCCTGCCCTGGGGTGTCCTAAGGACATGAAAATGCACAGGCCCACTCGAACAGGGGGAACAGTCGACTGGGGCGGCCCAGTGCCAAGCGTTCCCCGGAGAGTGCTCACCTGAAATCAATCTGGCCAATGGTGAGTGCAGGCAGCTGGTGACAAGGACCTCGCAAGAGAAGAAAAAGTACAGAATTAATCCAGGATGTTATCTGGTTTGTGAATTGGCTGGGGACTCAACTGTGTGTGTCCCAGGAGTCAATCGCCCACCAATTGAGTCACGGCACCAAATGATAGGATTATTTCCAAAAGATGAAAAATATTTCCAAAAGATGAGAAGTATAGGGGGCTGGGGATTTAGCTCAGCAGCATAAGCGCCTGCCTTGCAAGCAGGCAGTCATGAGTTCGATCCCTGGTACCAATAAAAATGAAAAAGACAAAAAAAAAAAAAAAGATGAGAAGTATAAAACAAAAAGCAGCCTTTATTCTGAGAACACAGAGAGAGATGACCAGCACCCCCCACCACTGGCGTCCGGCGATCTCTCCAGTGGACACATGGCGTGGGGTATGTAAATAGCCTCTGTTTGGGGTGAAACCTAAGGAGGGCATTAGGGATGCACAGGTAGCCCATTGGTTCTAGATTTGGCACCATAGGTAAATTTCCAGGGGCGGGAAGATGGCCTCACAGGTAAATTCCTAGGGACAGGGGAGATAGGGGCTTCCTGCTTCTGGTTGAGGCTTTCCTGGCTACAGAGTCCTGTTTGGGCCAAAACCCTTTCACGTACGTGGTTCAGGTATCTTCCACCTGTAGGTGCAGGCAGTTCTCAAAATAGTACTGCTTGCTTTGTTGGCAGAAAAGCAGGTCACACAGCTTTGAGAATTTCAGATCTAAAACAGCTGCCTTGTGTTCTCCAAGTTCTAAGGGAAAATGTGAAGCTATGTTGAGTTGCTGTATCTCCCCCAAAAGACACACACATCCCTATGGGAGATTGAACCTGGGGTAATCTGTCAAAAACAGTTAGCTGCCTTGTGTTCTCCAATTTCCAAGGGAAAATGTGAAGCTATGTTGAGTTGTTGTGTCTCCCCCAAAAGACACACATCCCTATGGGAGATTGAACCTGGGGTAATCTGTCAAAAACAGTTAGCTGCCTTGTGTTCTCCAAGTTCCAAGGGAAAATGTGAAGCTATGTTGAGTTGTTGTGTCTCCCCCAAAACACACACATCCCTATGGGAGATTGAACCTGGGGTAATCTGTCAGAAAGCTATGTCCTCCAGACCAATTTTATTTTGAGACAAAGTCTTGCTAAGTTGCTAAGTGGCCTGAAAGTTGTGATCTACCTGCCTCAGCTTCCCAAGTAGCTGGAATTTTAGGACTGTGATGCTACAGCTGGTTTGAGGTTTTATTTTTTAACCCTCTTTATTGATTTTCTTCTCACTGTTTTTTTTTTTTTTTTTTCAATCAGTATCAGGTATCAAACTCACAACTGTGTGCTTGCAAGGCAGGCTCTTGTACTTCGGAGCTAAATCCCCAGCCTTCTCTTTATTGATTTAAGGAGGGAACTAAGAACCAGTTTGAGAAGGGGACTACACATCTTCCATTTCTTGCCTATTGTTGAGGATGTGTGAACAGTGGATGTTTGAAATTTACTTCTCTTTCCTTCCTACAATCAAATTTTGAGTTTTGTAAATATTGATGAGTCATAGGAGTCTTTTTCCCTGTTGCAATTCTTAGTATTTACCTAACTCCAAGGCTACTGGATGAGTGACTATGTCACTGGTAAGTAAGTTTTCTGCATGTAAGTAAAAGCAAAGATCACAAATCCTAAATCAGGTTATTTTATGGTTTTAGTTTTTTTTTTCCCTAGTCCCCTAGTTGTATTTTATTAAATCCACATCTGCTTTTGTATAAATGCTTCACTCACCAACTTTTTTTTCTCCCAAGCCATTGATTTCTTTCACTGATTCATTGTATAATTCCAGAATTTTGGCAGGGTTCATCCTTCGCAATAGAAATGCATGAAAACTACAAGGAGACTTCGAGAGTCTTTCTCAAACTCCTTTTCCTTCTGCTAAAGTGAAAAAGAGCCTCTGCTCTAGATGACAGAGGAAAATTGGTTAGGGTAAATTGTTTCCTTTTCAATTTACTTTCCACAAAAGGGATCCTGCTTTAAATGGAAACTTATTTATAGATAAAATAAGTGAATTTGGTTCTTCTTTCAACTGGACATGCTGTTGACACACAAAAACATCAGAACTCTTATACTTACAAATGGTTTCGCATGGACAGTTTCTACACCACAAGCAGAAGGTCTTCCTCAGTTCACTGTGGATATAAGGTAATGGGTGAAAGAAACATTGCAGAGTCGCCTTACAGGTTAAAGGCCCTGTTAGAATGAAGGTGACAGAAACCCAGTACAGACAATACAGCAATAAAAGGGACTGACTTGCTTGCATCACTATAAAGTCCAGTGATAGTCACTGCTCCAGGAAGGACTAGATCCAAGGAGTAAAAGGCTGGGCCATGATTATATTGTGTCTAAGAGCCAGGTGATACACAGGATAGAAATTCAGGGATTTTTCCACTGGAAATTCCAGATTTGCATCCTCTCCATTTAAAACCCCCAGCAGAAATAAAATGACTTCCTGATAAGCTTTGTGACAAAATTCCGATTAGACTGGTTTCAGTCATATGTCTCTCTTAGGCGGGTCTCAACATGTAACTGTACTGGGCATGAGGGAAAACAGTCAAGAGGGCTCACCTCGCTTGTACTATACAAAATGGGTTTCCTCAAGAATCAGTGTTATTAAAAGATGTGAATAAATACTGGTCAGATTTCAAAAGTTAAAAAAATAAATCTCTACTTTAAATTCTTTCCATTTTTGAGGATATGGAAGAGTCCTCACAGTATTCTGTTATCTATTCCCATAGTTGTAAATACCTTTCCATCAGAAAACAACTCTAGGAGCTGGGTGTTTAACTCAATTGTAGCATACTTCGATGCCCAAGGTCATGGGTTTGGTCTTCCCAGCACTGAAAAAAAAAAAAAGAAAAAAAATCAAAAAATCATATCTTTATTTCTAATCAAAATTACTGTTGTTATAACTGGACATGGTTTGAGCCTGTAATCCCAGCATTTGGGAGGCTGAGGCAATAAGATTGTGAATTTGGGGCCAGGTCAGCCTGGACTGCATAGGGAAACCCTGTCTTAAAAACAAACAAACAGGGGCTAGGGGTTTAGCTTAGTGGCATAAATCGGGGAGTTCAATCCCTGGTGGCCCCCCTCAAAAAGGCAAATAAACAAACAAAAACAACCTTCTAATTTTCTGACTTACAAGAATATTTCCTTTTGCTGGAATCTTGATATAGATCTCAAACCGTTACAGAGATAAGAATCTTTGTATCTTGTGATAGAGATGCCAAACGTTGCTTAATAACTTTATGTTTTACAAAGAGAGAAAACTAAACCAAGTGTGGCGGCACACACCTGTGATCTCAGCGCTCGGGAGACTGAGGCAGGATAATTGCTGCAAGTAGAAGGCCAGCTACATAGTCGGTTCAAGGTCAGCCTGAAGTACACAGCAATCTCCTATCTCAAAAAGAGAGAGGAAGAGGAAGAAGGAGAGCAAGACAGAGACAAAGACAGAGACAGAGAGAGAGAGACAGAGAGAGACTACAAAGAAAAAGAAAATGAAACCAAAAATGAAAGATGCAAGTGAATCAGATGAAAAGCAATTGTAAAAATGAAGTAAACCAGGTATGGTAGTTCATACCTATAATTTCATCTCTAGGGAAGTTAAAATAGAAAGATCTTAAGTTCAAAGCCAGGCTGGGCTATATATTAAGACCCTAGCTTATAAAGCCACACACACAAACACACCTAGGGTTCCATGTCTAAGTGTTGATTGCATATGTGCAGAGCAATGAGTATATAAAGCCTTTCACTGCAAGCACTATTACAGCAAAAGGCTGAACACAATTTTCGTGTCCATCATGATCTTCTGGGAAGTTTTGTATCTGTAATTCCAAAGAAAAGATACTGGAATTCTAGTGAGTGAATTCCAATCTATCACTTCCAGTTAAATTCATGGTGAGAAGAACACACAAAGGTGTATTTATAGTTGTGAGGAGTCAAGGGGGTCCTTAGTCCAGCTAGGGTGATGGCTAACAGGAACCAAGACCTTGAGGTAAGGTGAAACCCAGGTTTTATTATTAATTTTCAACAAGGGATGTGTGTGGCTAGGGAATGAGTGACAGTGAGTGATGGGAAGTACCTGAGTGCAGTGAATTGGCCTAGGTAGGTGGCCTGAAATCACTCCTGCAATAGCAGAGAGGATATGCAGAAAGAAAAATTTGCATAACACAGTTCCAGGTTCCAGTATCTAATGTTTTGGGGTCAGTGCTTCCGCTCTGATGCCTAATCTTTTATGCCCTGGGAAGTCACAGCCTCTTACCTCAAGGTTCATTCCAGACAACAGTATGGAGTGTGGCTCCCCTTCCTGCCTGGCTCACCTGTTTTTTAGGCTGTGGGGCAGGGTAACACTGACCTTTCACCTTGCTTTGAAGACCACCCATCAGCACCTTGGCTAGACCAATTTGCATTGCTTAAAGACAATTGAAGTCATAAGGAAAAATCCTAGCCAGCTCTGTACATATCAATGGGCCAGGTTTAGCCAAAATGGAGGTAATTGCTCTTCTTTCAAAGAGAGTTGTCCAGGTGGTCCAGGTGTAATTGAATCAGTTATGGTAAAGAAATGTGGTTCTGACTGAGACAATCAGTCAGGAGTCTTAGTCCCAGCTGAACACTGGCAATGTGGAACAAAGACTTCCGCAGTGATACCAAGTAATATTGATGAGTAAATGAAGAATACTTAATTATTTGCTGGAACAAGAAACCAGGTATTGGAAATCCACAGTTAGTATAAGCATTTCATTTTCATCATGCGTCTAGGTCCTTTCACAAACCTTTAATCAGCAATGTTGATAAGTGCTAAAAAAACTATTTTCAGTTTCAATTCCTATTCTTTTGCCCATCAATTTCGAAAATAGAAGTACAAATAAAAGTGAAATATCTGAAAGAATAGTAACATGAGACAAAAAAGGTAATAATTTTTGTTGTTCAACAGATGGTTCATTACTGAAAAAATTAATAAAGTATTTTCAGGAGGATGAGATGACTATGAAAAATCTTACAATGTAGTGAAGATTCAATGATCTATAGGTTGATATATAATTAGATAGTAATGTTCTGCACAAAATTTATATATAAGAATGTTCATCATATTATTAATTTTAATAGTAAAAATTAATGACAATTTAAGTGTCCACTGATATAGCAGGGGTGGGGGGCAATAAAAACAGATCAGGATCTCATCCATTGTTTCTCTTTTTAATCACTGTCCAATTTGAACACTTGTTAGTGATTGCATTTCTCTTCTGTGCTTTCTTCCTTCTTGCCTCACTAACCTCTCATGCTGAACCCTCTTTGAAATCTTTCCAATGTATCTTTGGAATCTTGGTTTCTTGAGACATTAGTAAGGGATGACTCAACAGTGTACTGTTTTCGAGCTAGTGATTGGTATCAGGCCAAGATAAAGATCTTTCAGCTTTCAAAACTGTTGATTTGGAAACCTGTCCTTTACTGAATCCAAAGCACTACCTTAGCTACTCTCTGAATGAAACATAACCTTAAATTAATAGAGGGAAATACATCTAAATTAGCTGAGGTTTACACAGGTATATATGGCTTACTGTAGACATAGTTGAATTTAATTTCTTCCCTAATTGAGTTTGTGGGCTGAGATTCATACTCACTATATGTCTCAAAGTGACATTTCCATTTTAACACCTAACCTATTTCTCTAACAAGATTTTTTGGCTCAGGGAATGCCACAAGCATTCATTCAGATACTCACATTAGAAACTAGGTATTATCATCAAGTTTTTTCTCTGTCCTATGTTCACATTTAAATAATATTCTTGGAATTCTATATCTTCCTCTTGTCCAAATTGCTCCACCTCTATATGTTCATTTATTCATTCTCTCATTCAATTTCTCATGAAAACTAGAGTCCAAAGGGTGCAGCAGATATCAAGCAAATGGTTTTATAATTAATTACTGTAATAGTATTTTCCTAAAATCTCATTTTTTGTCCAGAGGATCATAAGAAGGCTCTTTCTAAAATATAAATCCTATCATGTGTCTCTCCTGCACAAAACAAAGGACTCCAAAACCTTAGTGTAAACATCTAATCTCTCCAGTACAGTGTCCAGTCCCTTGTGATATTGTCTCTGTTGTTTTCCAAGCCTCTCTCCTGGTTGCCAGCAGCCTTTGTGGTGGCAGTTACTTCTCTTTTTAGCTTTGGAAATGCTTTTCTCTGGCTTATTTTTATCCTTTTGTCTTTGATGGTACAACATCTTTTAATAGGAAGGCTTCGTCTTCCTGGGATTCTGTTCAACTTGCCAGATTCAGCTTTTAAGACTTCTTCTTGGAAAGTCACCATATACTCATATCCCTGTATATGCCTTTACCATAGCACTTGGCACAAAATCTTGAAATTCATTTGCTCAACACATATAATATTTCCTGAGTGGCTACTACTACTAGGTAATGAAGAATATAACAGTAAACAAAATTCTTTTGTCATTTTCCTCTTCTGGGCTATAATTTGGAGAGTGGGAATTGTGTTTTAATCATTCTGTATCTTCAACAGACAGTACAGCAATAGCATAATAAAAAAATCTGAATTGAATTAAACTAGGATTCAAGCTCAGCTCTGCTCAGCTCTGAAGTTTGTGCTCTACTATTGTATGGAATCCAGATTAATCTGTATCTATTAAAGTAAAAGTAATAACACTTTTAAGAAAATGACAACATGGATTATATAACTACTATATTTCCCCTAAAATAAAACCTGGTATTATGTTAATTTTTGCTCCAAAACATGCAATAGGGCTTACTTTCAGGGGATATCTTTTTTTTCATATATAACAATCTATATTTATTTATGTAAAGTAATCTACATTTATTCTCCCATAAAAATGTACAGTAATTCAAATACAGTCATACCACCTTCCTCTAGAACATCATAATTTTCCAAACCCTGAACTCCGGCCTGAATTTCTTTTTCTTTTTTTTTTTGGCCTGAATTTCTTGAGATTCCATCTTTGTAGAACCATTGGCTGAAATCTCTCCTATCCAACAATAGAGCTCTCCTTGAATGAGTGCTTCTTGTCTATATAGCCTGCCAGACATGCATCGACAACATAGCTGTTAGTGATTTTTATCCTATGAATTCTTCACCCAAGTTATAACCTCTTGTATGTG